GGGGGAGGGGCGCGGGGGCGGCGACGGGGCTGCGGGGTGTGGGGAAGGAAGCTGGCCGAACACCCGACCCGCCGCGTGGCCCAGCCCGACCCGCTGTCCACAAAGAGCCGCCCGGGCCACCGCGCTGTTGGGACGCGGTGGTTTCCATGGGCTGCCCGGGGCCACCGTGGGCGCTTGTTCCGAACCAGAGCGAGCGCGGTTGACCCTCCCCTCGGGCCCGCCCCGCCGCTAACGGAGTGAGTGTCCGGCCCTGCGTGGGGCGGCGCTTCCGGCGTGTAACTTCGTGGGCACGAGGCACAGACCTCCAAGGTGGGACTGCAGGGTCACCGGCGGGCTCTTCTGTCCCGTTAGGGTCGCCTGGGTCGTGGGGGCGCCTGCCTTGGGCTCCAGCTCAGGGCCTTCCAAGGACCGCGCGAGCGGAGGCCGGTGGTCACGCACCCGAGCTGGCCGCCCAGCCAGGGTCAGATGCACAGCGCCCAGGGACGCACGGGGACAGCCCAAAGCCGAGTTTAAGTGCGAACCAGGCTGTAAACACGCAAATGATGCAAAGTCTAAGCAGTCACTGCAGAACCCCAGGCGCTGTCCTGAGCCCAGGCTGACACAGCACTGTCCCCGCACCCGGGGCCCACACGCACACCTGACTGCATCCACCGGGCATCCCCTGAGATGGCCGGGGGTGGGGTGTCTTCAGGCCCCGGCTTCCCTGGGTGCCGCCGGGGGTCAGGGAGCGGCTGTGACATGGCTCAGTGGCTGTGCTTTGAACAAATGGGCGGCTGCACGTGTGGTGTCTCCAGTGCTGCCCCGAGCTTCCTCCCGCCCTAACGTGCTTCGTGGCCCCTCCAGCTACTCCTGAAATGGTCATGAACTAAAGTTAAAATGCCTTCTTCACGGGTAGTCGTGAGGATGTCACCACACACAGCTTGCAGCTACTGTTCAAAACCTAGAAATTCACCTGTAGCCCTTGACTTGAATAAAAGGAATGTTGCAAGTTTGGGGTTTCCCAGAGAAAACTGAACTCCAAGGGCTGACTTTGAAGGCTTCTCCCTCCACTTGCCTCGGAGAGGAGGCAGCTGTGCCCAGTGCCCTTGGGTTCTTGGCTTCCTCCTGTTTCCTGCAGTTGCCCATGAAATTACTCTCTGGGAGTCAGTGAGCAGGAAGTGGGTTTAATATTTAATCACAATTTTCCTAAAAGGTCAGAGGCTTCTGCATACCATTGTCTTATTATTTTAATGATTTTTTATTCCTAGAGAACAGTTTGAGTATCATTCCTTTTTTACATATATCTGGAAAAAACATACCGTTTATTTACATACATTTTGCATTCATTTACATATATATGATGTGTAAAATCTATATCTAAAAAAATCTACTTTGAAGTCTTTCCAATGATGTTTCTTATTGTGCACCGTAGAAAAATACCATTAACGCATTTTCTGTACCTTTTTGTTTTTTATCATTACGTTTTTGATGTAACTTGAAATTATAATCATTTTTTTCTTATATTCTTACTTTGGGTGGTCCATTTCACCATAAGTTATAGACACTTTTGAGTTATACACTTGATATTTTTTAAGAAGCAGTTCAAGAAACAATTTTTGTGAGTATCGCGAATGTGAAAAATTATATCAGCCTTCACTTTCGCATGTCTTGGGTGCCATGAAACACCCAAGACCACCAGGATGCCGTCTCTTTCTAACCTCTGACATGTACTTCTGAAGAACAGGACATAGTCCTGCCTTTTAGCCATGCATTTCTCGAGTAAAACATCAAAAATGAAGTTCCATTGAAAAAGCTTATGCAGTTTATTAAAAATCAAAAACTAAAAATTGGAACAAATTGAAAGTGTACACATTTCAAAGCTCCCGAGTGTGGGTGGGGG